ATATAAAGTCAAAACTCGGTGTTCACACATTTTATTTTTATTTTTTCGTATTACAATTTTTACCAGCTATTTTTTGAAATTTATAAAATTATCAATATTATATTTCATTTAGATTTCCTTTCATAACGATAAATTGTGTGTGGCGTACATATATATATGTATGTCTTATTATGTATTTATATTGTAACTTGAGTAGGTAAAGGTCTGGAAATATATTTATACATATATATTTTATAATGTATATATAATATATATTTCATACATTAAGTTTTAAATTAATATTATTCATTAGACTTGGATAATTTAGTTTATTAATTAAATAACAATAAAACCATACACTTATAAATGTATGTGTTTTAACTTTTAATGTAAATAAAAATTGATATTTTATTAATCATTTATTTAACTGTGAATTATTATGAGTAATAATAAACATACGATCGTAAAATATGTAATTATAATTGTATTAAATATTTAATTCTTGCTAATGTACAATTTTTTTACGATTTCAGTTTAAAAACAAATAACAATAATGGATAATTTACTTTATCAACGCGTATTATATAAGAATAAGATCAATATTAAAATAATTATAAAAAGGAAACAATTTAATAAGCGTAATTTAGCTTTTTTTCAGGAAATTCATATTTGTTAAAAATTAAATAGAAGATACTAAAGCAAAAAAAAATTACATTGAGTGGTAGGATTCGGTGGACTTGAGATATGAATACAAAATAATAATAATAATAATAAAACAGTTACTAGCTGATGGAATACGAAATAGATAGATGATTTCCTTTTTGTAACTATTATTATTATGTTAAATCAAATAATATTTTTGTTAAATATTGTTACGTCATAATATGAAAAATTCCTCTTATTCAACTTAGAACAATGTTCGCCCAACGTATACAAAAATAACCAACTATAATATATTCTGTAAATAATTTTGAAACACAACGCAATGCCACTGTTAGTAAACGTTATAAAAGAAAACAAATCATCATCATAATAATCATATAATCTTTGTACATTAAACGAGTTGTAGAATTATAAATCACTATATTATACCCTGAATTTAGAGCACAGATTTTTATGCACTAAAAAGTATCAAAATATGCCATATGATACGCAGTAAAAATCATAAAAATATGCAACAAATATGCATGCAAACTTTTTTTATTTATATAAAATTCATAAATTCAACAACTTACAATAATTAATTACTTAAATAAATTAAGTATATAAAAAAATTTCGTTTTAATATGTAACATATTTCAAGTTTTATAAAAATATATAGAAATATACAAATAAATTTCACCATTAGATTCAAATTATTTTGATTCGTGAAGATAACTAAAAAAAATCTAAAAAAGTGAAAAAAAAAATAATAAGCGATTGCATATAAATCCGTGCTCTGGTTATTATTTAATGCCAATAAAACTATTTTTAATATTTCTACTAGACAAAATGTTATCTTACACATTTTTTTTTTTTTTAACTTTTACTTTAATATGCAATACATTTCGAATTTTTCAAAAATATGCAGAAATATGTAAAATAAAAAAAAAAAATAGTTATTGGATTCAAATTGTTATGATTCGCGAAGATAACTAAAAAAAAAAGATTAAAAAAGTAAAAGGGGAAAAATATGCAATTGCAGGAAATCCACGCTCTAAATTTATAATAATTTAAACAATTCGTAATTTTTTAAGTAATATGATAAATTATAATATAAAATTATTAACAATGTTATATACTATTTGCGCAAACTTTGTAATTGCCATAATCTGCTTTCTACTTGAAAAGTCATGTCTACCGTTTTTAAATATACTAATATTTCATTATTATTGTTTTTATTAATGTTATTGATAAATGTAATTAACTTAAATATTCAATTCGTATTTAAAAAAAAAATGTTTTTAAATAGGTTTTAAGAAATATATGTTTTTTTATTAAAAATAAATTATATTGACTTTTTACATAAATCATTTAAAGTATTCATATTTTAAAACCACAAATATTAACCATGGAATTATAAAAACAAAAACGCTACTGTTCTAATATTATATTAATAGGGTCGACTATAAAAATTATAATTATATCAATTAATTTATTGATTAGGTTTATGGTAATACCTGTAATATATCATTCAATAGTTTATTATTTTTTAAATTATTTATTATTATACGTTATATGAAATAATATTAATAGATATCTTACGGCGTTAATAATAATGTAATAGTAAATACAACTGATTATGCACATAGTATACAGAGTATCACTCCACTATCATAATAATATGAATAGTAGTCAAAACATAATTATTATTATTAATATAGCCTAACATTTAAGTCTTAAATTTTATATTATAGATATTATCTTTATGTATGACATAGAAAATGTTTTTAAAATATTATTCAATGTTTAATAATTATTATTGCCATGACGACCAATAAATTAATACTTAATAATCAAAATTAAAAAAAGAAAGAATAGACATTAATTTGAGTATTTTTCGTTATCGAGTAGGTAGTGTAATGTAAATCACGTATTAAATTATAATTGAATGATAAAAATTATATTCTAAGTGATGAAAAAATAAATTTTTGGTAACCGATTTTAGAACTTTAACAAATCTTCGTGTTAAATTTTAGTTTTCCCGACTATTTTAATATAGGTACTAAGGATATATATAATATACTACTTAGGATGTGACATTTTTACTTTCCATAAGTACCAACTATCTCCATTTTACTACAAAAAACCTTTATTAATGTCAATGATTAAAGAAGTTTTCCACCTAAAAATTTGTTTAGACACAAAAATAAAGAAAAAAAAAATAAAAATATACACATTATTAAAAAAATAGATATGAGTATTAAAAAACAAAATTTATTTTAAGTAAAACATTTAAAATTATAATATCTATGTGATTTTTTGAGTGTATTTAACAATTGATGAAGTTAGTTTATTTCAGATATACACAATAATGTATATTATATTATTGTGATATTGTATTTTATTCATTAATTATTATTATAGTAAAATCATAAAATACATATTACAATAAATAAGAATTATTAAATTATTGTTTATAATCATGATTAATTAATTATGTTTTATGTTGTTTTTTTTTTTTAATAAAGTTAAGTATCCACCTATCTAGATATATAATATTTTGTATAATAATTTGTTGACCTAAATGTATCATAAGAACTGTTTTTCACGCTTTTGTTCGTATTAATTATTATAAATGATTGGAATGAATCTGGGTGATTTTGTATTTTTTTTTCCATTTTAAACTAAAAAAAATGTATAAACCTGACCGGAAGCACCACATTTTTTTTCAAATCAAATAGTATTTATTTCAAAACACCGGAAATGGTTAAATAATACACATAGTATAACTTTACCATGATTTCAACCAGGATTAAATAGAATTAAAATACTGAAACTCGTCTAATGGAAACTTAAAAAAGTTTTCAATTTTATCGGTTTAATACCTATATGTCTATGTTATTGTTAATAAAATCGATTAATCAAATAAATATTACATTGGCTGTCGTAAATTTCCTGTTAATAAATTGTAATCGAAACTACCATCATCCATAAAATATTCTTTACCAAACTACTGATTATGTTTGACTGAAATTTTTAAGTTGTTATAGCAGTGCAGATCATAAAATTATATTATTTGAGAATAAACAAAAAAACGATTTACTGTATATACGATATACCTTTTGTTAATTCCAGTGATAACAACATTGACAACTTAAAACTTTAGAAGGATTATAAAGTTACACTTTTAACTATTAGGTATGAATGTTAAACAATTTAAGAATTTATGATTACTAAGTAATGACAACATTATATCATTAAATGCTTATCAAGTATTAACGTATCTTTAGTTTTTTCAATTCCTTTTTACAATTTATAAAAAACTTTATATTAAAATGTGTAAACCTTTTTACCGAACAAAAAAATCGATACCTATATGAAATAAAAACTGAAAATAATCAAAGACAATTAAACTTTTTGGTAAATAAAGTTAAAAACCAATTTTATGTTCATAATTTTATTTTATTAACATTTTAACAAATGTATTTTGTTTCCGATTATTTAAAAAAATTATGGAGAATTTTCAATATTGGCTTCTTTAAATTACCGACTAGAATATTAGAAACAATTTTTTACTATCAAAAACCTTTGTGGAAGTTTTTCTACTGGAAAATTTTGTTCAAAAACAAAAAAAAAAATAATATTATTAAATAATCAATATATTTATTGCTTTTCCTTGAATCTAAAATGCAATACCAATTACTGAAAAAAATCACTAAAATGTCAAAATTAAAAATAATGTATCTAGTTTCTGATTTATTAAATAGGTTTAACAAATTGTTTAGTTTTTGTTTTTTTTTTCAAAATAATTTATTTAGAATTTTTTTTTTAATTTATTTTTTTAACCAATATTTCTTACATGTTTTGTAAAAGATATAAATATCGAATATTGGGTCAATTGATAGTATTTTGTGTTAATTGAGCATAGACTTAGTAGATTAGAGTAATATTGAAATTAAATGATTCTCATTTTAAGAAACAATATAATAATTCCATTGATATCATTTTAGAAAATCAATGTTTTTTGTTACTCTTGCAAAATTATTGATAATATATGTATATTTAAGTTTTGAATTATTGATATTTTTTTATTTGTTATTTCTCAACCTATTTAACATATAAATAAATGTATTTATATTTCAGAGTTTTCATTTAAAATAACAGAATATTATGGTTGTTATAACACACATCCAATATTAACAACTTAGAGTAGTTTTAGGGTAGTGTCACGTGTGCATTAATGTATCACTGCTTATAATGTAGATACATGTTATTATACCTTGTTTAACACAGTTATTGTCGTTTGGTTTTATCAATGATTATATATTTTACGTGTCATATACTTTTATATAATATTAATTGTACATATTGTTCCACAGTACCTCCGCAGAAACCAGTCATCTTGAGCGAATATCATGAGGAGATAGAACACACAGGACCGTTTTACGAGGGCGACCGGGTGAAATTGACGTGCATGGTATCCGGAGGTAATATAATTTTTTCATCACTTTTTTAATATTTTGTATAATACAACAATAATATTATACAATTTCTTGTGACACTGAATATTATTTTTTAGTCCACCAAAAAAAAAAAAAAAAAAAACCCTACTACTTACACAAATATTATAAACTAATATTTATCTGTTTATTATGTTTGATTAACTACTATTATTTTAAGTAAATATTATATGCAGAAGTTAAGGAACTACAATAGGTTCGTACACACATGACGAAAAACCTAGCACCATTTTTTGATGTACAGTCGTTATGTACTACCTATATTAATTGTTTAAAATGAAACTTCACAACATCAGTTAAATAATTATAAACACTAAAATACTAGACGTTTATATTATGTTAACATATGGTACAATAAATTAATTAAAAAAAAAAAATAATAATAATAATAAATAATGTAACATAAATACAATATAAACGGATAATTAAATTTCTCCTCTCTGTTTAATGTGTATTGCTAAATTTTAAACAATCGACAATGTAAATTTGTGACATATGATTTATAGGTATTAGACAAAACTCATTCAAAAATTACGATTATCATAGTTGGGAGTAATTTTTTTAATTTATACAGTTCATCACGGATAATTATAATTATGACCGTGATGACATTATAGAATTTTCTAGTACCACATAATACAGTATTCAAATCTCTCACTGATATAAATTAGGTACATAACAAATAAAATATTATTATATACGATCATATTATTATGTAAAAAGGGTAGTTTTTCGCAACATATAAGGTAAGTTAAGATTATTACGTATTCATTACATACTACAGCTAGTCACATAAACTTTAAAATGTGTAACTTAAAGTTGGATTAATATTTGTTAAAAGTTTTATCATTTATAACGTATGTCAGGAAAAGTGCGAAGAAGCATAAAATTTGTATATTTTATAATATACGATCTTGTCAAAAACTTATAGAGTCGAGTTACTTTGTTATAAATGGTTAATCACTACAAAAAAATACATTCAAGATAAAAATAGGATACAATGTTCAATGAAAAGAATTTAGATTAAATTGAGCAGTATATATTATATCGTATAAGGTGTGCTACTATATTAAGTATTACACTGTTCACAGTTTTAAATTATTTAACATTATTTCCAAGTACCTAACTATGAACTATGGCATCAAAAAAAAAAAAAAAAAAAAAAAATGTAATTTTTACAAATAAAGAAATCCGTGTTCTCTGCCCCTCTTAAAAAAAGAATATTTTAAAATTTTAAATGAATTTAGAGTATAATTATAAAACAATTGATATACAAATCCAAATTATCAACTGCAAAACTCATATAAAAATCAAGTATTGAAAATGTGTTATATTAAACTCTTTAACCTAACTGTTCAAAATTAAAACTACGAATAGCAGCTTATTAAAAATAAGAATTTTGTTTCCTCAACTTTTTTTCCGAATATATTAGCTATTGGTGCAACACCATTCTTTCACTTTCATGTTCTTGATAAATACAATAAATCATTTAATATTTAGTTTGTATTCGTAATTTATTATGTTATAAAAAGTGAAAAAATAACTTTTTAATTCTTAAATTTTACTGAAACCGTAAATGTTAAAATAAGAAGTTATTGTACAATTTTTTTTTCAATTTCAAATGAATTTTTTTCTTAATTATTTTTTTTATATTAAGATATGTGTAAATATAATCAGTGAAAATTGTTAAACAATAAAATTGTAAGTCAAAACAACAACTTTTTGAACACCTATCGGTTGTAAATATCATAAACAAAAATGAAAGAAGAAATAAATATATATAAACACAGGAAATGTATCTGATAAATGGATGTTGAATAATTCATTGTAAAATAGATCAAAAACTAAATTATGGTCAAGTCTATAATAATTTAGATATATATTTCCAATATAAAAACTAAAAATGATAGGTTGTTTTATGTTAAAAAAAAAAAAAAAATCATCAGTAGCTAATAAGAAATAAAATGTTCAAAGGTTTTTCTATTATAAATAAAATATGTGTTAGTATTTAAAAAATTTATTTATAAAATATTGTTATGTAATATATATACACAATAAGCAAATAAAAATTTACTAAACATAAAAATTGAATATTCTTAGTTTAAAATGTCAATAATTCATTACAATTATAATTACTGTTATAAAATAAGCATTAAATGATTTTCTCAATTGGCGATGAACCTATATTTTGTTAAGTGACTTGTTTGAAATTAAACTTTTATTAACTTTGATGAACATCTAAATCATTAAAAGCCTTCTGTTTGCTATGGGTGAGAAATTTATGAAGTATGTTTTGATTCAAAAAAGGAACAAACAAAAAATATATATACAATATTTTAAATAATTTAAACACAATGAAAAAATATTTTCAAAAATACAAACATTTATCTAGAAAACAACTTAAATAATAAAAAAAAAAAAAACAATAATTGCATTTATCGTACTGCTAAATAAAGAAAATATAAATAATAACTTAAATTGTGTTAATAAAATACATCAAAATGAAGAAAAAAAAATAATCAAAAACCACAATCCAATTGTTCCCGCATTTGAAATTTAAAGCGAATCGAGGGAGCTATTTGGTTTACAATGGTTTTTTCCTTTTTTTTTTCAAAAACAATTTTTAGGATAGTAAAAGTGTTGCATGTAACCTTATCAATTGATTGGGAATTGAACAAAGCTCGTATTTTATAAAGGTCAAATTTCTTAGTAGTTTAAAAAACTCATTGGAAAAACTGCAAAGAGCATAATATATGTATATATCGTACCCATTTTTAATAAAATTTCGTCTACATTTAAGTCAACCAATCTCCGTTCAGAATCAATTTTAAAATGCGATAATTTATTATTATTTTTAAATTTAAAGTAAAAATATACTTTAAACTGGATTGGGTTGAAGTGAGTACTAAGAAAATAATCGTTTAACATCTTATGCCTGAAATCGGTATTGTATACTATTCACTTCTATAATTATGAATTAAATTCGAGATTCAAACTATTTATGTTATATTGTTACTTGTTAACATGAGCAATTAAACTGAAACAAATATGAAATAATAATTTGTAATGGTAGTAGATAAGAGTTATAGTTCATAAATTGTAATTATATTCAGATTTATGGTTTTCATTGAATAACATTAATGGTTGTATAGTCAAAGACGAAATGTATTACCTTAATCTTGTAACATTTAGTCCAAAATTATCTATTAGACATTAATTTGCGTTTTCCAATTGTAATTAGGCTTGTGAAGGTAAGAGTATACAAATAATATGTTTATTGTATAACTGAGTATATTATGATAAACTTTTTTACAATGTCATAATATTTTATATGGTTAAGAAATATATTTTATTCAACAATACACATAATAAAAATAATAAAATAAAATTTAACTAATGGTTGTACTCATTTTTAATCCACATTTATCCAGATTAAAAATTATATAGTTGACTTTTTTTCTAAAGTAATCTGAAATCAACAATAATTGATATTATTTATTAATTCATATTAATTTTGACTAAATAAATTAGCAATATATTAATGAAAATATTGTACTTATACATTGAAAATGCTACATTAAATTCTAAAGATGAATTTTCAAACTCAATAAAATGAAAATTTATTTATTAGCAACTATATTAAGTTTAACTTTATAAGTTTGTTTTAACAGAGAGACCCTAAAATATAAAAATGATCTAAATTTGTGTACTTAGTAATAGCTTATATTTTCATGAACCAATGGGTAAAGGTTATACCATCCGTGTTAATTTAAATACAGTCTTAACATAGTATATAAAGAGTGTGAACTTGAATAATTATAATTATTAAAAAATAAAATAAATGTCTACAGTAAAAGTAATATATATATATATTTCATTAAAAATAAAATAAAAAATAAAATTGATGATAGTTCATATTTATATAAGTGTTGTTCAATCTAAAATTAAAATTAAAAATAAAATACAAACGTAAAAAATAAACAAACAAGATTGAAAAGTTCCAATCTTCATAAAGTGTTTACAAATTGTAAGAATTAAAATATATTTATTTATTTACAAATTGAAATTGTTTTATTCTTGAATATGCATGCAATTCAAGTAGATCATTTTTAAAATAATAAAATAGAATAAAAATTAATTTTACAAACTCATAACATTTATTTTCATATTAAAACTATAAATTTACTTACTATTACGTGAAACAAAAATGTAAGTACACAAATTATTATAAATGTATTTTGAAACGTCCGAATGAGATAAGTGGATAAGTGCTCATAAAACGTATAATGCATAATAATTTATGTTTAATTAAAAAATATAATATTATAGACTGTACTTTTTGAAACTAAAAAAAAAAAAAAAAAAATTAAAATTATATAACATTTTGAATTCTTAAACAAAGTAAAATGTTGAGTAATAAAATTAAGTTAAAATATGAATGTAATTTTAGAAAAGGTAGTTTTTGACCTATATTATTTTATTTTTATTTGTAATATCATTGAGTATATATAGTACTATATATTATATAATATATACTATATATACTCAATGGTAATATATACAACTTATTAATAGTATTTTAGTTTTGTTTTAATTTTAATGATTTAATTAAAATCTATTATAAATTTTTAAATATTATTTATTTTAATGTATCAAAAAACTAAAAAGTAATAACTTAATATGTTAAAACATTTTAATCGCAATTTTATACATGAATTAATGATTTATTATTTAAATATTTAAATCAAAATATAATATATTTCATGTTATTCTTAAAAAAGATTTACTCTAAATATTATTTAAAAAAAGTACAAACGTGCATTTAAAATAACAACAATAATGTGCTATTTATTAATTATTTTCATAAAAATCTGCAAACTCATTAATACTTGACGAGTTAAGTTAGATTCAAAACGCTTAAAAATTTAGTATATTATACTTAACTTATTAATTTTTTTTCATAATTA